TATATATATATATATTGTGCTCCACAACCAAGAATGAGCAAAAAGACTTACCCCACCACCGCTGCAGCACCACTGGTGTAGAGAAATACAGAATGTTTGTCCCCACAGGCTACTTGACGCACTGGCCAATGCACCATGTACTGAAGGAGACAGGGAGATGTCTGAAGAGGGCAAATTGAAAAGTCAGATGTTTAAAAAATAATAACTGTACAATGATACAACAAAAATATGACCACAGTAATAGTGAATTTCAGTTAACAATATATTTGTAAACTCAAAGATTAGCAGATCAAAAATAATAATGGTTAAGTGTTTGAGAAAAGGAAGGATGGCAAATAAGCGAGTGAAGCAGATGTAAAAGATCGAGGGCCTGCCCATCACACTTTCTAAATTGTGATAGGCAAATCCTTTTAACAGATGGGAAAAGACAAACATGGCCTGGCTGCACTTTCAGGAGTCTTAGACAACTACCATCGTTACTACTTGATCTTTATTATCCTCATTTACAACCTCCTCACACTGCTTTTTTCTACTGATCTGGAGATGACATTAAAGGGCAGTCTTCGTATAGTGAGCAAAGTGCCCAAGACTACACGAGTGACTGCAGAAATGGCAATGCTACTTCATGTAACAAGAGTAACATTAAATCAAAAGAACGGCTCCTAAGAGTTGTGGTGAAAAGTCTACAGAGCAGCGAGGAGATAACTAAAAAGGAAATAGATGATCAGAAAAAAAAATGTATTGTCTGATATATGTTTAAAAGTTTTTGCACTATATTAGAGGAAGTTTACACCCCCATCAAGAAACCAGGAGTGAGAGGAAATATTCCAGAATAGTGGAGAAGAGTAGTTTGGACATTAAACGTCTGCATTACACACAATCTGCTGAGGTAAGTGTTTTACGGCGCTCGCAATTCCATAAGGTCATAAGAGCGCGCTGGACAGATTATGCATTTTCAGTTTGGTAGGAATTAATCAAAAATTTTGCCTCGGTGGTAGCCGAAACCTACTATCGTTTTTATTGTTGTTGTTGTTGCTTTTACCACCAGGGGATTTTTAACGTGCACAATTGCACTCGGGAATTCCAACATTTTTGCCCATATCTGAGAAGGCTAGGCATTATATCTTACCTACCCTAAGACCACGGGTGTGGCTGAAAGACAGCAGTAAGAGGAGCAAAGGAGTAGCAGTAGAAAGGCTGCAGAAAAAGTAAGGAGCCCAGAGGATGGGTCAAAGGGGAGGGGGAAGAGGGCAGGAAGTGTAGACGAAAGCAGACGACAGAACATGGTTGGAGAGCAGGGAAGGAAATGGAAGGAAAAAAGTTTAGAGAAGAAAATTTGCCCTCGTTGTCAGGTTTCAAACCCTGGATCTATTGAATGAGAGGCGAACGTCGTATCTCTAGACCACGAGAGCGCCCACACAGAATCTGGGCACACATGATCTGAGCAAGAAAATCTATAACCACAAGGGTATCAACCTGGTTTTCCTTGTACGTCTCCTCTCTGAAGTCGTATCCAAACTGGGCGTAAAAATTATTTCCAAATGCATGGACGTGGCCATTACTGAGCACCACCATGGTGTGCCGACTTCCACACGCCACTTTGGAGATGGTGACTCCTTCTGGAGGGGGAGGCTCCAGGTAGATTTGTACAGGCTGGGGGTGACTAGATAGGTCTCCATTGCCTAGTCTGTTGAAAGAATGCAAAAATGATTGTTATATATCAGTTCATATTCACTTTTTAGCATCTATCAGTCTATCGATCTATTGATCTATCGATCTATCGATCTATAGATCTATCTACATGTATCTATCATCACGTCTGAAAAAGAGATAGGAATTTCTTAGTACAAAAACTTTTGGTAACATGCCGCACACACCCTCC